CCTCTCCCTCCCCCCCTCCCTCCCTCCCTCCCATCAATCGGGAGAATAAGAAGAAGAAATAAAGGAGAAGGAGAGAAAGAGATTCAAATCACTAACGGTCAACTTCAAAACCAAACTTCGACGAGTAGGATTAAACGAACATCAACTTAGAAATTTTAGTGACTTATGCTTAGGCTAACTAAGTAAGTAGTTTTGTTGTTGGAATGTTTTCGGGCTTGATTGGAGAACTTGTGTGATGTATGAATGACATGTACCTTGTGGTCCACTTACATGTCATTTCCTATTGTTATGATATGTTATGCTATGACTATGTGATGTTTACTATGAGTATCTGATGATTCGAATATAATGTGATTAATGTATTTTTCAGTATGTTATGGCATGTATGTTATAATACCATATTCATGTTATGCCTATGAGATATCATGGAGTCATGTATGATAATAGTGAAAATGATGCCATGTATGTCTCATATGAAAGTTATGTTATAAAAAGAATGAAAGTATGATATGCATCATAATCACGTACTATGTTTTTGAAATATGGGACTTTATGCATGTTGTACGTCACGAGCATGAGATATTTTTCTAGTATGTTTTGTACGGATGCATACACCATGGTATGATACACGCTTGATTTCTGACAATGTGGGCGTGCGTTAGTCCTAGTCAGGCCTAGGGGGTACGCGAGCCCGCCTAGTGTAGAGAAGTACTATATATCCAACCCTCTCCAAAAGAGAAAATAGAGCTTAAGGAACGGTCACGAAAAGATAGGTCTCACCATGATTACATCTGATTGCATTTTCTAATCTCAATAGTGGGACTACTTCCGAGTATTTTTAAATATACTTCCTGAGTATTTTTAAATATTAATTTTCCACGTAAATATAAGACATCCATGTAAGGAAGAGGACGTTACATTATCTATTTGTTACTATTTTTCAAATTTTACATAAATTTTGTGAGCGTGTAAGTCTATTATACTGTTTATAGTAAATTGTTTTAAATGATTTTCCACACTTATTAGGACATGCATGCTGTGACGACATTATTTTTTAATAGAAAAGTAGGATCGTTACATATGGTTTTGGTTCATCCACGTAACCCTCTCCCAAGCAGGAATCATGCCTTGGCTAACTTTATGCCACAAACCCCCAAAAAATTATATTAATAAAAGCTAAAAAGGTAACACAATCAACAACTTGGAGGCTTTGGATTCCCATAAAGTCCAAAACAAACCAACTGATACTCCCTTTCCTTCTTGACCAATTCACTGTTAACGAGCGTGGCATAGGATGCTCTCCGCTTCCCAGGCACGATCGTCTCATTGCAATCCGAACGAAAGACGGGAACCCAAAGCCTTCTTTCGGTTTCCCGTCTTTCGTTGAATACATGAATCAATCAAATTCTTCACCTAATTCTAACAAACTACTTACAGACTCCAGACATATATAATGTTGTTAGACATGGATATGATGTTACTGATGCAACTTTGTACCTTCTCTGGAACGCTTGTTACCGAGTTAAACAGACAACTCGACCGTGCTGGAACATGAATGTCGTTTTCCCATCCTTCATATCGAATCACACAACTTACAAACTTGCCATTGTTCTTGAGTGTTCCCTCGACGTGTTTTTCAAGCTTTGTCTATGCGGTTAACTCGAAGACTTCGGTTCAGAAGCTATTGCAAAAGAAGCTTGTGAAGGTCCAGATCCGACTGCCCATGTCGGTGTTGCTGTTGTACCTGTTACAATTTGCACATAAATCTCCAGACCACTTTCAAAACCAACATGTCCCAAACAAGTGACATTCTTTAGATAACAATTCCCAACATCAAATGACACAATAATGGATTAGATTACAAGCATTTGTAGTTCATTTAGCACCTGCTCTTGTTGCGTTCGAGCCAGGAAGCGATAGGATATCGATCAAACCGTGCTGCTGATGAAGATACGGGTACTGTATTAGGTGTGGATACTGAATTCCAAACGCGTACCCCTGGCTACTTTGAGCATAATATGGATAGAGATTTTGAAACATTCTAGCCTGATCTGAAATCCCATTTGCAGAGTAATAAGGTGAAAATTGTTGGCCCCTGTAAGCACCATAATAGTTCTGCATTGAAAACACAACGCCCAGACCAAAATCAATGCCAACAAGATCACAAACACAAACATATAAACATAGATTCCTACCAATGGATGGATTATGTCTTGTGAATATCCAGCAAACCTGAAATGACAGTTTTAATCAAGAACAGGAAAATGGTAAAATTAGATTTTGTTGATATCATTTATAGTTCTTGTTTCAACCCTTACCCATATCCTGAAAGAGGGTATGAGTATTGAGTAGTGGGCTGATGGATATAAGATGATGAAGGGATATGATAAGCATGGGGGGTCACAATCCCAGATGAATCTCTAAATCTTCCAACAACACCTGCAAATTTGTTCAACATTTTTGGATTTGACATGATTCTCAGCAAAAGAAATGGAGATTCAGATTGCATGTGGGAATTTTTATGATCCATTGGAACGATCAAAGCATTTTTCGAAAAAGAAGGTGAAGATCAAAGAAATGAGAACGAACCATGTTGAGAAGCGAGATTGCAATTAGCCGTTCTACCATCGATAACAGGGGAAGGGTTTTGAGAAGCTCTAATGGCAGAATCAGGATCCTTAAATGTGACCTAAAAACAAAATCAATGAAATCAATGAAATCAAATCAAACCAAATCAAATCAAATCAAATCTGCATTATTACAAGAACAAGAAGGGGGAATGGGGAAGGGGGACTTACAAAGCCATAACCCTTGGATCTGCCGGTGGTTTTATCAGTAATAATAACAGCTTCCAAAATTTCACCAAATTGTTCAAAATACCTTTTCAAGGTATGTCTCTGAGTGTCCCAAGCCAACCCTCCAACGAAGATTTTGGTGAAAGTGGTGTCATTATATTGGCCCCAAAGGCCGCCGCCGCCGCCATTGTTAAGAAATTGCCAGTGTTGTTGAGACATAAGGCACACAAATATGCCCTTCCCAATAAGCACCAAAGTAAACGAAGAGAAATCTACGCCCCTTTGTGTTTGTTCTGTGTGAGATGGAATGTATTTATACAGACAAATTGGACGTTATAACAATCTGAAGACAATATGATATCGATGAAGAACAGAGAGAGGCATGCTAGTGGGCTCCCACGCTCGACGACAGAGCCTCTACGGAGATTTTTGCTAATACCCAAAATGGAATATTTAACTCTTTCACTGTTATATTTGCTGGATTGGTCTCCCATGGCCTTTGCTTCCTTGTATTCAAAACTAATCTCTTGTTCTATCTCCACAAGTTTGTTGAGTTGGTAATCAATAGTTTACACGGTTTATCTAACCTATTCCTAATACAACGTCTCATTCAACATCATTTTGGTTTTCAATTAATGTAAGAGGACATTGGCAGCTATTGTAGCTTACTCGGTCATGCCATCGAGAATGGGTGTATGTGTCGTTCATCCTTCAAGGTTCAATTGAGACATTGGCCCTCCTGTATCTATGTCATGTCATTTACAGATACTATATTGGATAGCGGGTGCAAAATTCAACCTTTGATACTTGGGCTAGGGTGCAATACCAGCCCACCTGTGTTATCCGGTACTATCCTTGAAAGACATTTTAAAGGAAGACACCTAAGAAACTCGTCCTAGAACACTCGTCCTCACTATGACATATACATGTGACACAGGGTAGCTTGCTTAGGTCACAAGGGTCAGGGGTTGAGAGTTGACACCATGCCTCCCCCTATAGTACACTATGAGATATTTTCAATGTTGCTCGAATAGACATGATTTTGGCGAACGTTCATATGATGTCATGGTGTAAGACCCACGTTTTGGGCCCATGGCCCAATACAAATTAATAATTATAAAAATAAGCGTTCGGCCATTGGGGCCAAACCCTTAAGCCAGCCGCCGTTCTTCCTCCTTTTTGTCATTTTCTTCCTTAGACCGCTGCCACCCAACGCTCACGCCGTCCCACATATGAATATTTCCCACACCACACCACCCCGCGCCCTTCGCACATCAGAAAAACCGCCACCCAACACCCACATCGCCGCCACGAGGGAACGCCATCGCCGTTGCCGTCGCCAGAACCTACAATAAGAGGAGTAAACACAGCAAAGATTCAACGCGGTTTCCTCTCGAGATAGTAGGATTAGAATCAAGCCCTACGTAGGAAGAAGGCTCAATTTGAGTAGAGTCGGACCATTGTGGATTAGGAAAAGCTAAGAAGCAGCTACCCCAGGTAAGGGGCACGCCTATTGAAACTAAATGTTTTGTTTTTTAAAAATGGGTCGAACAGATTTGTCATGTGGCTATGTGCTATGTAATCTAATTATTGTGTGCCTTTCCTAATCCACAACGGTCCGACAAATACCACGCGGTTTCCGTTGTGGATTAGCAAAGATTCAACGTGATTTCCTCTCGTGTAATTTGAACAGATTTGTCGGGTCGTTACGCGTGTAACTATTACCACAAGCCTCTTAACCGTTGCTACCTACAAGCATAATATGCAGGTAATAGGCCCGCATATATTGTGTCATACATCTCGCATCGAACCCAATCACCAAATACACTGACCACAGCACACAACCTAAACCAGATTACACACAGCGCACACAATCTAACCTAATCAGATTACACACAACGCACACAATCTAACCTAATCAGATTACACAATAGCACACACAACCTAACCTAATCAGATTACACAACCTAATCAAATTACACGACACACATCAATCAGATTACACGGCACACAACAATCAGATTACACGACACATAGCTCATATGACAAATCTGTTTGACCAATTTTTCAAAAACAAAACATTTAGTTTCAAAAAGGCGTGTTCCTTACTCGGGTAGCTGCTTTCTTAGCCTTTCCTAATCCACAAGGGTTCAACTCCACTCAAACTGAGTCTTCTTCCTACGTAGGAGTTGATTTCAATCCTACTAACCCGAGAGGAAACCGCATTGAATCTTTGCTGCGTTTACTCCTCTTCTTGTCAGTTCTAGCGACAATGATGACATTCCCTCGCAGCGGCGATGTGGGTGTTGAGCGGCGGTTTTTCTGATATGCGAAGGGCGTGGGGGGGGGGGGGGGGGAAA